CTTCATTGTTATATATAAGCCAAGGCTGCTTTTGTTATCCCTTTATAGTTTGGCTAAAATTAACACGTCATTATACTCTATAATATCCATCTTCAACTTGAAATGTGCAAAGTATGTCATCTAGTTAAGTGGAAGCTTGATAACCTAATGCAACAAGCTTGAACATCAGAAATCAGCTAAAATCTTTTATGTGACAATTGGCTCACAAATGTCTGCCTGGGCAGATGGTGTTGGTTTTAAAAGAAAGACATAGTTTGCCTGGAGAATTTCAGAGAAATCTGGGCATCCTTTTCAGATGCTGGTAAAGGAGAAAGGTGTCATTTTCTTGACAGCCCCAGTGGTTTCTGTTACTATTTGCATGACAGATGCCACGAACAGATTGATGTGTAAAGAAAGCAAGGTACAAGAAAATCATACATTAAAACTCATTAGCTGGAGACAGACAAGCTCTGCAGGGAGCCACTCGGAAGCATTTTTTGATGTATAGAGAATGTTTAACATTCTTAATATATGTGCTTTTTGATGTGCTGGGACTAGATTTACATCTGTGGTGCTCGCTGAAATGGGAGGGAAAACACGTGGCTCAATTACAAGTAGACTTCTATGAATACGTAGCAGGAAAGAATCAGTCTTAAATACAACTTCCAATACAAAATGCATTTCATTGTTTCATTTATTCACCCGCTTGGCCTGGGCCTGAGGAACTAACAGCTAATTATGGAACCATCATTACTATTAAAACGAAAAACAAGCACCATTCAACCCATAACATGTGGCAGAAAGAAATCATACTATTTGTAGGTTCTTGCCAATTGTTATTTGTTATCGTTTTCTCAAAAATGGGAAATCTAGGAATGTTTGATAAGTTTAAGAAAATAAAATGCCACTTTTTATTGAGGTTATTATGTCTTTGACCCAGGATATTTTTCAGAATATTTTCTTTTCTGGGGAAAGTGCTAGATAAATGACATTTATCTATTAATCGAGAGAATAGTTTTTCACATTTGTAAATTTAGAGATTTGTGATACCTACATAGGGCTTGAAGGACTATAAGTTATAAATCAAGTTCCTCAACACTAATAGTCCCGCTCTGATGTCAGTCTTCATATGCGCTGCTTAAAAGCCTAGTAGTGTCCTGCCTAAAGTCAATTTAGCACTCCTTAAGATAGGTAATCTCACGAGTGCTAGGTCAGCAAGTGGCTTTGGTCTCAGCAAGCCACAGGGGAGAACGGATAGCTATTCTGGGCTGCATTTACCACACACAACACTCTAAGGCTGATTTGGTTGTCTGAGCAGCAAGTAAATATGCCCCATTGTTCTCTCTCTCTCTCACACACACACAAAGACAAAAAGAAAGAAAAGAAACTCCTGTGAAGATTTTCTACAAATTATTTATAGAACTAGATCAGCTGCAGTCACATATTGTCTAAGGCAGATGTTAAAGTACCGTGACAGCAGAAAGTGCCCTTCATCCTCCTGGCTTCCATTGTGAAGACTGCTCTTCTTAGTCGAAGAAATGGAAGCCGAGTGGAGCCTGCTTCCTTCTGCTGCTTCCTTCATCCTTCAGCATCACGCCACTTCCAGAGGTCCCCAAACTTTTTAAACAGGGGGCCAGTTCACTGTCCCTCAGACCGTTGGAGAGCCAGACTGCAGGTCCCAGGAAGAGCCGGCTGCTAAGCAGGGCAGGCAGCAGTGGCAAAAACACCGGCGGGCTGGATAAATGTCCTAGGGGGGCTGCATGTGGCCCATGGGCCGTAGTTTGAGGACGCCTCTTAGTGGATGCATTGCTCCCTAGTAAGCATTTCCGAAAACTGCCTCCAACTCTGTGCCTTCATGGAAAACTACTCTCCCTTCCCTACCTTGAAATATTTTCTTCTCTCTGGCGAAGGAAATTTATAATCTCATGTCCTGAGACCTTATTCTACAGACCATGTTACAATTTTGATAACTGCCTATGTAACTCCTGAACTATAATTTCCCACACACCCCAAATTGCATCCATTTCTGAGGCTCATTTTTTCTAGCTGTGACACTCTGAACTTACTGACCTTACTGCCCTTATTTGCCAATAATTTGACTATTCTGTTATTTGGCACATGGCTGTCTTTGTATGGATGCCCACATGTTTGCAATCCAAAATTATTTGATCTTCTCACTATCAATTAACTTAATTTGTTCATGTGTCCTCAACTTGAACTCTGTTTTTCCTCATAACTGATGTAATTTGAATTTATATATGAAAAATAACTACAAATAAACCTGGCTTATTTTCTTGCCTTACTCTCCTAGACATTTTCTTTGATGTCGTTTTGGTATCTTATCCCTTAAGTTCACCTTTATCCCTCAGTCACTACCCTATGGCTTCATTTCCTTCCTAGATCTCCAGCTGAGGTTATACTTTTTTCCTCTTGTATTCATGAGACAGCATCTTTAAAAACTCTCAGAATTTGCCATTTCTTGTTGCACATTTGAATAGTTTAAAATAGACTATGAAATTATATAATCATACATTTTGATGCTACTAGAAATAATTTCAGTTTCCCTTAGGTCCATAGTATTGACCAGTTCTCTTTAACCAACTTACTCTCTATCATCTAGAAATTCTATTAGCCAAGATCTTTCCATTGAAAGAGACATTAAATAAAATGATATGTAGTGGCTCAGATATTTGAAGCCTGGGCTATGATTGTCAACCTTTAGAGTTCATGAGAATATCCCCCCACAGGGCTTGTTAAATAAAAATCGTCAAGCTCCATTCCAGAGTTTCTTATTTAGTAGATCTAGGATGAGGAATGATAATTTGCTTTTCTAACAAGTTCTCAGGAGTGGACATTATACTTTTAGAACCACTGGTCTAGGAATAGAATTCCTTTCAAACTTGTTTCTCTAGAGGTGTTTAAAGATATCCTAAGAATACATCTGTTTCTCTCTTTCTCTCCATCTCTCTCTCAATCTTCTCCCTCTCTTTCAAGACAGAAAAAAAAAATGATATTAACAGATCCAGGATTAAATATCACTTTTAACTCATACACCTAGAAAAAGAGTATCTTTTCCAATATGCATGTATCTCTTATAAAGATTCTCGGAAACAAAGTGGAGGGAGTTAACCAAACTTGTTTGCTTAGGTTACCAGGGAAAGGAGGAAACCCACAGAGAAAGGATGTTAATTTTATCAATGTTATCTGCAATGTGTTTTCCTTTCTTTATAATGCTCTTAAATCACTCTACACTGCCGCCTTCCCTTCCCTTAGTAAATGGTCTTCAATGATAATTTAATAAAAATACCAGAATTTATAAAGCAAGATACCACTCACCTCTTGACCGAAACATGTAATTAAAAAAATAAATAAACATAATGTTTAGGGCCTGCAGAGTTATGTGTGGCAAACAAACACACAGAAAATTTGGATATAGTTGGTTTGTCCCCACCAAATCTCATGTTGGAAACTGATCCTTAGTGTGGCAGTATTGGGAGATGGGGCCTGTGGGAGATGTTTAGGTCCCAGGCATAGATCCATCATAAATGGCTCAGTGCCATTCTTAGGGTAGTGAGGTCTCACTCTTAAGAGACTAGATTGGTTCTTGGGGAAAAAGATTAGTTTCCAGCAGAGAGGGTTGCTATAAAGCTGGAAGGCCCCTTGTGTTTGGTATCTCTTCTCACATGTCTGGCTCCCCTTTGATTATCTCTACCGAATTTTGATGCAGCACAAAAGTCCTCACCAGAAGCCAAGCAGATGCCAGCATCACGCTTCTTGTACAGCCTGCAGAACTGTGAGGCAAATGAACATCTTGTCTTTATAAATTACCCAGCATTAGATGGTCTGTTATAGCAATATAAGACAGTACAAATGTTTGTATCAGCTTTTATATTAAATACTGATGACCTTGCGCTACACCACCAACAAACTCAACACACACACACACACACACACGCGGAATCTACCAATATGTCTTTCGTAAAACATGACAATGACCTGATTCTCATGCTTTCCTTGTACTACCCACTCCTTTGCCCTTCAAGTCTACTACTTCTTATCACTATTCAGCCTCTTTTTCATTGCATATCTAAAACATTTAATTTTATTTAATAATTAATGTCAATATTGCTATATTTGATTTTGAATAACAGAGGTTATTGTACTATTCATTCCACATCCTGTATTTCTAGAAAAGTGACTGTATAAATCAGTACTTCTGATGAATATGTAAAAGAATGAATTATCTTATCAGTTTACAGCCCAACATTCTCCTAAAGGTCAAAAGATAAAATAAAATCATCATTGTAATGAAATAATTGTTCAGATTCATTAAATTCACATTTTTATAGCTTTCTATAGACCCCTCTATCTTTTAAAATTTGTTTTATTTTTATATTTTATAATCATACCCAAATTATCAACATTTGCTAGGTGAACTGTTATTGATTAAACACATTGCCATTATTTCAAAAGAAAAATTAAATAAGAAAAAAATAATATTTCTAAATAATTCAGTACTCAAATATGAAACAAATCCAAAGAAACCGTTCAAATTAAATGACACCAAAATTATAAAAAGGAATTAAATGAATTAGTAAGATTTTTCTTTTTGTATTTATTTCAGGACCTACTTACAAATAAACTAACATTTTAGAAACTTTTTCATTTAAATATAATTTCTTATCTAATACATAATAGTAAACATGCATACATATTTGTTATAAATTCTCTGTAAACTTTTTAAATGTGAAAAAAATTTAAATATTGGTTGCAGAAGTAATTGCTTAATCTATTTACTTTTGTTGTTTTGAATCCTTAAAGAATTTTTAAAAAGATATACTGAAACAAATCGTTTTCTTTTTTCTTTTTTTTTCAACAAATCATTTTAATAAAAATGTTAGACAGAAAATTATTAAGCTATTTATGCATAATTTAGATAATTACTTTTAGAAGATACTCTATTTGATGAAAAGGGAGATTAAATACTGTATAGTCTTAAGAATATTTTCTTTCCAAAAATTTGTGGGATGTTATGATAATTTTCTTGTAGTTTTCCCCCTCCCCCTCCTTTGGATAGGGCTGGGTTTGAACCCACCACCTCTGGCATATGGGGCTGGCACCCTACGCCTTTGAGTCACAGGCACCGCCCTGTTATGATAATTTTCATAAACTATCAATATTAGGCAAACCTACCAGTGTCTCTGTGAAGAATATGTGAGATCCTTATGAAAAGTGTATCATTTCTACTTTAGATTTCTGGAGAAATTTAATTACAACTCGTCAAGCTGCATATTAAAAAATGCTTTATGTGGCAGACCTGGTGGCTCTGGGAAGCCGAGGGAGGAGGATCACTTGAGCTCAAGAATTAGAGACCAGCATGAGCAAGAGGCAACCCGGTATTTACTAAAATATAAAAATTAGCCAGGTGTAGCCAGCATGTGTAGTCTCAGCTATTCAGGAGGCTAAGGCAGGAGGATCCCTTGAACTCAGAAACCTGAGGTTACGGCAAGCTAGACTGAGGCCAAGGCACTCCAGCCTGAGCAACAGAGTGAGACTCTGACTCAAAAAAAGTTTGCTCAATTGTGTTCAATTTTAAATATAGATGGAAGCCATACAAAGAAGTAAAAACAGATGATTCCAAGTTCTGTGGTATTAAAGTAATCAGTCCAAGAGGAAATGAATGAGGGAGGATGAAGGAGAATGAGGGAGAGAAGTGGATGGCTTTCAGGCTGGTGTTCATATGCTGCAGGTAGCATCAGTTAGTACATGAAACAGGTGAAAATGCATGGAAATAAGTAAAATAAAAATATTGAGTCAGTATCTACAGGTCCACCATATGCAAAACAATTGGGGCAAGATGCGTGTGGAAAATTAGAATCTATTACATTTTATACTTTATAATACATAGTGTCTCCGCAGGGTCTGGAGCAGCATCCTATAATTAAACCAATTGTTATTTATTCATATAAAATCTGTCTTTTCAAATACCAGAAAATAAATCAAGACTATAATTATTCACATATCATTTTTGGTTTAATTTTGCCTGCAAATGAGGCCCAGTGAATTTAAGTTGTGCTGCCAAATGAGAGTTAAAAAAAAAAAAAAAAACAAAAAAAAATGACAAAAATAACCCAATCCAAACCAAAACTCAGTCATTTCTTTTTCCCTAGTCTGGAGTTTAGAATTATAGGTAAAGAGTTGGGGCTCTGTACTGTACCCTTGCTTGTACAATGTCAAGCTTATAATCAAATTATTTGGGGGAAGGAAAGATTCAAATACCTGAAAAAATTAGATGCTATGTCATTAATCTAAGACTTCAATTTTTCAGTTCAGGTAGTGTGACACCACAATAAACTATTAAATCACAATACATACAAAGGGAAGTTAAAAGACAAATTTGTGTGTAAGGGCTCTTGGCTGATAAAATTCAGAAAGACCAAGAAAAAGTTTTTGTTTTAGATGTGTTTGTGTTTGTGGTTTAAAAAATAGGTGTAGGAGGTTCTGATAGCTCCCTTCTCTATCTACCTCAAGCTGAGGTCCTATGGATGATATTGAAATAATGGCAGTAATATTTAATAGGTATTATATTAGCAATATAAGATCTGACAATTAAGTTAGTGAACTCATCCTAGAAAAATTGCTACCCACCTCATTGCTGAATATCATACCATCACCTTTGAAGTACTCCCCTTAGAGGCTGTGCACCAATGCCAACACCTACTCTGCCCTTCAAAGTAATTTTGGAACACTTTTTCTGGATTATCCATCAAAGCTGTCATTTTAGGACATGCATGATGGCTCACATCTGTAATTCTAGTGCATGAGGAGGCCAAGGTGGGCAGATTGCTTGAGCTCACGGGTTAGAGACCAGCCTGAGCAAAAGCGAGATTCCATCTCTAAAAATAGCTGGGTGATTTGGCAGTGCCTGTAGTCCCTGCTACTCAGGAGACTGAGGCAAGAGAATCTCTTGAGCCCAAGAGTTTCAAGTAGCTGTGAGCTTTGATGCTACAGCACTCTACCAAGGGCAACAAATTGAGACTCTGTCTTGGGGGAAAAAAAAAGCTGACATTGTATTACTCTTGATGTACTAAATGTCATCAAAAGGAAGGTATTACTTTCAATGTTTTCTTTATCTTCAGATAAAGAAAAAGCTACTGGGGGACAGATTAGGTGAATAGAGAGGTTGTTCCAATAAACTTATTGGTTTAATAGCTAAAAACTCCCTCCCTGGGAGCTAGTGTATTGCCATGATGCAAGAGCCATGAGTTGTTGGCCAAGATTTTCAGTGAAGATTTTCCTGTTTCTTTATTGATGTTTATTTATTTATTTATTTTTAATTTTTGTTGCAGTTTTGGCCAGGGCCAGGTTTGAACCCACCACCCTCAGTATATGGGACTGGTGCCCTACTCCCTGAGCCACAGGCGCCGCCCTCTATTGATGTTTAGTTGGTCTGCTATGATTCTTATAGTGAACTGACAATTCTGAAGCACGATTCAACAGATTATTGCAATGTTTTCATCAGTTCTGCTTGTTACCAGCTCTGTTGATCTCTCCTCATGAGTGACAGTTTCTTTCCCCTTATAAAAATGTTTAATCTATGTGTACACTACTGTTTTCTTCAAGGCATTATCTCCATAAGCTTGGACTGACATGTCCCAGATTTCACTTACATTCTTGCCAACTTTAGCCAAAAAATTTACGAATTTTTTTTGTTGCTCTAAGTTCTGACATTGTCCTGTTGGCAATCAAAAGCATGAACCACAATGAACGCCGCTCAGCAAGACACTGATCCACATTGATACCTATACGACTGTGAGACCCCTTATACTAAGGTCAGGGGTCCTCAAACTTTTTAAACAGGGGGCCAGTTCACTGTCCCTCAGACCGTCGGAGGGCTGGACTGTGGGCCTTGGGATGAGTCGGCTGCTAAGCAGGACAGGCTGCGGCAGCAAAAATAACCGGTGGGCTGGAGAAATGTCCTTGGTGGGCTGCATGTGGCCTGCAGGCTGTAGTTTGAGGATGCCTGACTAAGGTCATGAAACCCTACTGAGTTGTTTGTACAGTCATGCCAATGTAAGCAGAGAGTGGCAAGTTCATGAATTTAATTATCAGACTCTGCCGTCTCAGCTTTTGCAGAGACAGACTATGGACTAGAGAAAATCTTACTAAGGAACTTATTCCTGAGTTGATTCTTGGAGTATGAGTTGTGCTCCAGTCACGGTGTTGTCTTGCATGGGAGAGGAACAGCAATTGTAGACATATTATTGCTTACATTGAATGCCAGTGACTCACCAGCGGTAGCAAAGTCTATGCACAAATGAAACTGAACAGACCAGTGTGGGAGCTACATCATCCCTGGTTCCAGCTGTGGCTACTTCCCTGAACGTAGCCATTTTGCTAATTGCCTAGATTCCGGTCCAGCACTTTCCTGGTTTGTTAATTCTTTTCTTACATCTTAAGCTCCTCTCATTGGCATTCACCTGCATGTTTCAGTCATGTTGGAGAGAGTCAGATGTAAAGCGTGACGTAGAATCCACGGAAATGACTTGAGAAAATGTGTGTGAGTGTTCTATTTAATAAAGTAACAGCCATGTAAAAAATACCAGAATGCTCTGTGGTCAAAGTTTGTGTTTTTTCCCCCAAACAATATGATTCAGTAAACAGACATTGCAAGCCTTATTTTTCAGCTGTGCATGATGTAGCCACTTTTCAGTGAAACAGAGGAATTCAAAATAGACACCAGTTGCAGCTACAATATTTGCCGAATCCCAAGCACATAAAATAATAATGGATGCATTCATTTCTAAAGGCAGGCAGACAGCAGACCAGCTGAGACAAGGCCATGAAAGAAAAAGAAATTCTGTTTTTCAAAACCAAAAAGAAATTGGGAACTAGCCAACCCACTGGTTAAAAATAAAAGGCTCAGTTAGGAGCTAAATGGAGAGCATAGTAGACTTGGTCTGATGGTCTGAGCTAAATAAAAATCATAAAAACAAAAAGTAATTCCCCCAACAAACCCAAAAAACTTTGTCAAATAAAGAAAGAGAAAGGAAAAAGAGAAAGAAGGCAGCAAGAGACCCCGAACCTTAAACACTACTATAGTTCCTAGTTCCTAAGGGGTAAATGGATTTTTACACTAAAGACGACCCTTGGCCTGTTTCCATATTATTGCAATTTAAAAGAGATCATCCAGCTTCAACCAGGGAAAGTTTGATGTGTATTTCTTAAATTGACTAATGGAAATTTATCTAGAAGCATGTCCTCAGAATCTTTGGATCTTTGCTGTATACTATGTGAACCTAAAACATTTGACAAACAAAGCACTAAAGACTTTAGTCTTGTGATTACATTCAGTGAGCTCTCATCCGATATTTGAGAAAAGAATAATAACAGAATTTAGCATGTTCTATAAAAAGGAAAAAAAAAAAAAAAACTTAAGACATTTACCTAATTGGTAATTCTAGAAATAG